CACACGTGAACCGAACCAAGACAGTCGAACCGAACGGTTCGGACAGTTTTCATAAACCGTTCCATCCCTAATACAAGTACAAAAAAAAGGAAAAAAAATGACATGCCTACAAGCTTATTTTATTAAATCTAAATATCAAACTGTAATTTTATATATCTTGGCATTTTAGTTTAAAGTAAAAAACAAAAAAATATTATCTAGACCCGTTACACATAGAGTGATACATTTCAAGTGTTAAGATTGTTCATGTGGGTAGTTATAGCTGAAAATGTGAATATCAATTGATAAGTACGAAAAAAAATACTTTTTGCTTAAGGAATTTCTGGCCCAATTAAAAGTATATCGATGCACTATATACATTCAAACAGTGGGTCTGGACTCCTTTTTGCATGAATCCTTGCATTAAAGCAGCCCTGCATGAGATCAGCCTGTCTCAGCTGAAGCCTTAAGCTCATCTCCATTGTTTGTTTTGATGTTTCTGTTAAAGTGATTAATTCGACTTTGTTTTTAAGTGAATAAAATTATCATTTTTGTAAATGAGGTTTAATTATAGTAACCTTCTTTTAACCAATTGACCAGTGGTCCAGTTAGTAGCCGAGGGGCATGCTGCAGACAGAAAACACAGATCCCACCAGCACATGATCTAGCATCTAAAACTAAAGCGTCAGTGTGGTGGGAAGTTTTAGCAAGTTGGAAACAGTAACTTCTTAAACTCTTGTATATCTTAATAACATCAACTGGGCTGTGTCTGTGGAGCAGATAAAAGAGAAAAAGACTTAGATTAGATCTAAGTAAGTGAGAAGAAAGTACTTTTGCTGACCAGTTTGAGGGATGGAGAATCAGAGAGCCTCACCGACCTGCAGGATGTGTGCGAGAACAGGCAGGGTGGAGATGCATTTCGTGACTAATACTGTGAGTGTGCTGGCTATGCAGGGCTGTATTAAAGGCAGGCAAGTTGACATAAATCCAAAACAGTGGGACAGAGGCAGGAAGACTTACAGCGAGACAGGGCCGTGGACCCTGAGAGCTGTGCAAATCAGATCAATAAACTTCATAAACGACATCATCAGCTTGGTCACCACAAAGACAGCCAAACGCCAGCCACCATCTGGCCATGTCTCAGCGGACCGCGGGTTTGGCCAGCTTAACCTTGCGCGTGAACACTAACGCATCCAGACACAGTCACACACAGTGAACTGTGCAAATATTCTCTGCACTCTGCTCTGCCATGCATCAGCGCGCGCAGAGATGCCTGAGCCAGGTAGACGCAACTCAGATCAGTCTGCAGAGACAGATTAAGTTTTGTGTGCACGTTTGCATGCATACGCCATTGCAGTTAGGCAGTTTATTCAGGAGCAGAAGGCTATGGCTTCTGAGTAACTCTGAATCTTGTTGCAAGATGAAAAACTACTGAAACAAAAGACAGAGTGAGAAGCGAAGGGCCACTAAAAGAACAAAGCAACATAAAGAATAATTTAGAGGTAGAAGAGAGTGAGTTAAGAGATGCAGCTTAAGCGGAGGTGGGGGGCACATTTCTTGCTGAGACAAGAGAAGAGCTGTGAAAAAACCTGCAAATTAGTCTTTTCTATGCGGATTTAAAGCAAGTATTGAGCATGAATCACAGTGTCTGTCTGTGGGCTGCAAGCAATTCAGAATAAGAACATTTCATTTCACACCACAGAGATGAACGTCTACATCCTGATCACATTAACACTTGAGAGGGAAAATTAGATATACAGCTCTATATCCGTCTTCTACCACTTACCTAAGACTAGGTCTTTGGGGCAGCAGCTTAAGCAGAGATACCCAGTCCTCCCCGTATTGTGCTACTGTACTTTGTGGAACTCATCTGAGGCAAATATGAGGCATTCAGGGGCCAGCTGTCATTTGTAATCTCTCAAGTAGGTCTGGGTCTGCTGTAAAGCTTCCTCTCAGAGGGACAATTTCAAAATGACTGCACAGGAGAACATCCAAACTGGGTCTTATTAGCTGTTCAAACCAGCCAGGAGCAGCTCTGCCTGAACAGTGGAGGTCTTTACCCTGTCCTTAAGGATTTGGGCACAAGCAGGAATTTCATTTTGTGTGTTTATATTCACAATCTAATTTCTTCCTTTTTATTCACAGTTCCAGATTATAGCTGAGTGTTTGATTGTCAACAGGTAAGCTGAAAGTTTATGTTTGGCTCAGCCCTCTCTTTACTTTCATAAACAGCTACAGTGTGGTTCATCACTCTGGCGGCTGCAACAATCAATCCATCATTTTGTTTGAACTCGTCTGTATGAGGGGGAGATGTAAATTTCATGTGAAGGTGACAATCGCTGTCCATGTAGATGTTGGCCATTCAAATTTGGTTTTGAGATGGGAAATCCAAAATCAGAAACAAACATTGCTTAATTTCATCTGAAAAAAAGAAAACTTTGGAAACTCCTGATTGGGAATCCCTTTTTTCAATTCCAAAACTAAAAAGGAAAAATAAAAAACTAATCTAGATGTCCTCCTCTTTTGGCTCATTAAAGCTGCTTACTCATAACTTTTTATTCACTGTTTGATACAAAAGTGTATTTCACCTTATACGCAGGTATACGACGTTGAACATCTTTGTGTAAAACGACCTAAAATATGCAAAGATTGCACTGATAAAGCCCCAAGATTAGTATCCATTTTTACAAACCATTAGGCTGTTTTAGTTAGCACGTGCTCTCCTGGTCCATCTTTTCATGGCTTATCAGTTCCCTCTGTGTCTTGTGAATGTAATTTCATTAGGGATGACAATGAACATCACGTTGAGCTCCAGCAAACTAAGAATGTACTAAGATCTTTGGCAGCAAATGAGTCCTTTCCCATTTCCTCCGGTATAGAATAGCAGGTGATGGAGTACAAATAACCACAACACAACAAATGAGAAAACAGCCATGAACACCAATGTAATGATCAATATAAAAGATAAGTGTCACAAATCAGTGGTGATGTCAGGGCTTTGTTGAAGCAAAACAGCCTTGGTAACATTTTACCCTCCGGGATTTATGAAGGCTTCATGAGGAAATCAGGAGAGGAGATTTGGAGCTTCTAGAGGAGCATTTTGCCATCCTAACCACAAGGAAACCTGAATGTAGGGGGACTTTTTTCTTAGCTTTTATAGTGGCTATGTAAACAGAGCCGAATAGATTGGTTGAGCCGTCTGTCCATCCTTCCCTCCCTCCAACCAACCCTCGATCCATCCATCTATCCATCCATCCATCATTACCAGTTATCAATACAGGGTTGCTGGGCGGCTCATGTGTATTTCTAGCCGTCAATAGCTGAAAAGCTGGAGATACCTTGAACAAATATATCTCATATTTTGCAAACTTAAAACTACACATTGGTATTTATAATCACACCAGTGTGAAGTAAGGTAAATTAACTCACTTTTACTTTTCTCACTTGAATTTCCCTGGCTTTTTATAACAAAAAAGATCTACAAGTATTTTTTGTGGACTTTCGTAGCCAATACATATTTTATGTCACTGATCTCCACTGAGTAGATTTATTTGATAAAAGGTATTTAAATGGTGGATAAAAGGAATGTTGTTTTTTGTTATATCAAGTGTTGTCCTCTATATCTAAACTTTTTAGGGGCCTTAGGTTGTTTTTTGTATCTTCTTAGAAAAAGTATTTTTATTATAAAAACAAAGGCCTTATTACAATCAAAAATCAACACCATATACTGTTTGGATGGAAATATACTGGATGGTCACAGTATACCCACCTTGAAAAACTAGGCATCAGCACTATTAATTTTTTTATTTTATTTATTCAAATCATAAAACTTAGGGGAAATATTATGCCAAACATGTCTGAAACAACTAAAAATAAAAGGGGTAAAAGTCACATAAGCCCTTAAACACAAAATGTGAGCTTTCATTTTACCATGGAGATGAAACAATGATTTCCTCTGAATCTACTGCCTTAACATACTCCACATATTCAATGTCTGGATTCTCATGAGGGGTTTTCTTTTCCTGCATGGCTAACAGCGCATAGCTAAGCAGAAGGGGGCTAATAAAGTGTACTGGTCATGCTCTGGTAGTAAACACCTTTTCAATACAGACAGACTTTTTGAGCGGCAACATAATTGCACTCCACAAATGCAAAGCTCTGCGTCAGCTCATTAAGGTGACAGAGGGGAAAATATTTTTTTTATCCATATGTGATACCAAAGTCAGCCTGACTCAGGCATTTGTTTAACTTAACTGAACATAGCCTTAAATGTTTTGTCAAAATTACTTCAACTATTGATTTGTCTTGTTATGTATGCTTAAGGTAAAAAAAAAAAAAAAAACAGAAAAATTTAAATGAAACTGTTTCAACAAACTTTCCCACATGGATGATCTAATAAATTTACACATTCCAAAACTAAACGCTGCTAGTCAGAAAAAATACAATTTCCTGCCTTTTTCTGTTTTAAATACCCCTATTATTATTAAAACACTGTGATTTTTATTCTTTATTCTATTCTGTGTATCTACAGCAACTAAGAAATATGCAAATTGGAGGCATTTCAAAAGGAGCCCGACAATGGCATTAAACATAAAGGCTGTGAAATATATCTACAGGAGACATCTAAGGACCCCCTCACATTTCTGTTCTACACATTTATACAAAAGAACATCTTCCCTGCAACAAATCTGTTTAATAGGCTTCTAGATTTGCTTCATAGAGATTTTAGTTTTATCTTCTATTAATAATTTCCTTGGTCAGTTATAATTAAAACGGTCAGTTATCTAAACAGCTTATTATTCATGACAACTGCCATCCCACGACTTAGAAGAACTTTTGTGCTTCCAGAGTGCACTAATTAATACACGGCTGAGGGAGGGGAAACGTTAAATTCTGATGTTATCTTAAGCTGTGTCTTGTTAGATACAAAAAGCCCTTGAAATGCATGCAGCACAAAACCACTATGCGATCAGAGAAAAGAGAGAGAGCAAAGAGAGGGTGGGAAAAAAAAGCCAACATACATTCTGTTACTGGGGATGATCTTGTGTCCATCTTTGTACCATGTGACCACGGGTTTAGGAAAAGAAGCTAAAGGAGGCAAGCTGATGATGACTGCTTGGCCCTGAGTTGCCGTCTTTCTCTGCTCTCCAGAAGTGAAGTTTCCCAGAACTTGGAAGAAAAAAGGGAGACGAGAGAGAAATAAATTTAGCATCAGTAAAGACTCAACAAACACATATTTGGACAATATCTGATCAGATTGTTACGAAAACCTATCAACAAAGCAGGTGGAGGTTAGTGGTGCTGGCGTCCCAACAACAGATTTTAAGCACACAGAGGAGAACTGTAACAGTGTGATAAACACGGAATACCTACAGATTTGTGAACGTGAGAATAATGCTAAAATATTTTTTACAATTTCACAGCATGAACATTTCATTTAATTCCAAGCTCATGTCAAATCCTTTGCAACATTATCTGTTCTAATGCAAATAAGACCCATTTGTCAAAGTGATCCACCTGCGAACTACAATTTACTGCAAAATATCTATAATTGAGCGGGTCCGGCCCCCTCCGAGCACTTTTTGAACAGTCAGGATCGGAGCTCATGACTAAACTCTACAGCTTATCCTTTTAAATGGTTTGCCGTCTGAGATTTCACTTCATTTTATGGTGTTAAATCTTTCCCTACTGATGGCAAACTGAAAAGAAAAATGAAAGCCTTGAATCTGTACTTGGAGTTTTCAAAGTTTTATTAGCACCAAATGTGAAATTAACATGCATAACCCCAAATTGTTTTATTTTTACTTAAATCTATTAAACTGGTGTGTAGCTGTAATTGCAGAGCTGATCTATGTGACAGTAAGTATATATACTTACAGGCAACATGCACCTCTGTTCTCCTGTGTATTACAGCTCCCATCCTGTTTCTCACCATGCACTGATACAGGCCAGCATCAGTTCTCCTCAGAGACGCCATAGACAACCTAGAGGATGACACAAATAGAGAACAGAGCTCTGAGAATCAGTGCACTTTTTCCCAGAATAATGGAAAATAGACACAAAAACAGGGCTTAACAAGAGAGTCATAAAAGAAGATGGAGGGTCCTTTTGGCCATACGCATCCATAACCTTGATAAAGAAAATAGATCATCTATGCTGCTGGGTTTCATCTGTGTACCGTTTGTGTACAAACTTATGTCTAGCCCTGATTATTTTGAGGGTTTTTTTCCCCAGTTTTTTTTAACTGCATCCATGTATTTGGTCCCGAGAAGGACTGTTAATGGGGTTTTAATGCACAGTGCTTCACTAATGGGAGAGTTGGCATCAGATGTAGGTTGGTGCCATGCTGGACAAACACACAGAGACACACATAGACGTACGCACACACTCAGGCATATACACAGGAACTGGATAGACACAGTCAAACTGGACATCGCTTTGGGGCTCATTATGAATACCAGAGCAGCCAAGTACTTAACTCCCAGGCTGTTGGTGTATACTGCCAACATACACAAACACCAACGCACGCACAGACAAGCAGACACACATGTACATCAAAGGCGCACAGACAGCTCTGTTTGAATCAGGAATGACACATTACGCAGCAACTCTAATCCAGAAACAGATTTTCATGTTGGAAGCTGTCTAATGCTGAATCTCTCTATCTCTGTCAGCCTGCCATCACATTTCTAACAGACATTTCAAATGTTTTTTTTCACTACACAAAATTCAGTTCTGTCTTAAAATAGAACTTATTCATTAGAAATGTTTTGCAAAAGTATTCATACCCCCTATAATTTCTTTGAACATTTTGTCAAATAAAACCAAAAACTTGAAAGTATTTTTCTAATGGTTTTACACAGACTAACAATAAGTAGGCTTCTGCGATGTACATACAGTGCATTTTGTATCCAATTCTAATGTAAAAGGAACATGATACAATGCATTCAAAAGATGTCACACATAAAATCTTGTTGTGCTAAATTGAATCCACCAACAGATTCTGTAGTCATCTGGTCCATCTACTTTAATACAACCTCAGTATAAATGCAGCTGTTCTGCAGAAGCCTCTGAGGTTTCCTGGAAAATATTAATGAATAAACATCATCCTGAAGATATAGGAAAACATCAGACAGGTCAGGGATGAGGTTGTTGGTGAGTAAAAACCAGAGTGAGGTTATAAAAGAATTTCCCACGCTTTACATACCTTATGGAGCACTGTTCAGCTGTTTATCTTACAATAAAAAGAGTAAAGCACACATCTAAACCTCCCAACTAAAGGCTGTTGAACTAATAAGATAACCACTGAAAGACAGCTTAAAAAAGCTTTGACTCGAGGAGGAAACTCTGTGCCAGACATTTAATAAATATGGTGAATCCATCTCTTGAGAAAAATCCATCTGTTCTTCTATTGTGGTTTATATCATTTTATTTCAGAGCTAAGCATTAAGTAGAGTGTGTCTGTTAACCCTTTGTAGGATAATCAGTGAAATAGTTTGAAATTCAAACTTTCAAGTCAGGGGTGTAATTGGATGGGAAAACAAAACCTCATTAGTATTGTAACATAAAAAAAAAAATAGTATTTTCATGGCAAAAATCAAGGACAATGTAATTACTGAACAAGCCACTTGATTTAAATATAATATAAATAAAGAGGGTTTCTTTAAAGAGACTTAATGGAACAACATCTTTAAAATAGCCTTTTTAGACTTACTTAGACTTAGACAGACTTTATTGTCATTTTGTACACACACAGTGTTTACAAAATTACATTTCATTCAGTATGGCTCTCAAGACATTTCCATTTTTAAAGTGCAGCAGTGATAAAATGTAAACACAAGACTGGTATATTATTTAAAGTTCCAACATTCAGCACTTTTTTTTTCTTCTTAAAGGAGAATTCCGGTTTTTAACACTTTTAGCCCATTTTCTGTAGTGTCCAGGATGAAATCGAATGATCGACACCAAAATTTTGACAATTGCTCCTGTCTCTGCTTTTTGGCTCATGCAGAATCCCCCCCTGGCTGCTTCAGAATGGCTTCCATAGTGCATGTCCGATAATGTCCTTAAAACAACCTTAAACGTTCTTTTTTTTAAATATGCTACTCACCGGGTCGTCAGCGCTGTTCAATGACGTTCCAAAAAAAGTTTCGTGAAGAAAAAACGTTCCTGTAGTGTTTTATTTAGCATTTTGTAAATCCCATTGAGTTCTGTTGGAATAGTCAATATCCCTCCGCCACCGGAAACGGAAATGGGGAAAACACTACACTTAGTTGTAGTCTTTTCGCTTCACTCTGTGTACTCCGACGTCGAGGTGCTAACGTCTCTGTTAAACACTTTAAAAAACTCTGAAAATGGAATACGAAAGGTGGATTCTTAATGAGGACATATTGGACTTTGAGTTTGACGGTAGAGGATACCGTTTTGAACCGGAATATACTGAGGAGGAGTATATAGAGACATTGTCGCCAACTAGTGGTCTGGAGTGTGCAACGCTTCAGATTCGAACGGGAAGCGGAAGTTTATAAGCGGTTGTGATGTATCGGAAAAAATAGCTCTGGGATTTACAAAATGCTAAATAAAACAAGACTGGAACGGTTTTTCTTCACGAAACTTTTTTTGGAACGTCATTGAACAGCGCTGACGATCCGGTGAGTAGCATATTTTAAAAAAAGAACGTTTAAGGTTGTTTTAAGGACATTATCGGACATGCACTATGGAAGCCATTCTGTAGCAGCCAGGGGGGGATTCTGCATGAGCCAAAAAGCAGAGACAGGACCAATTGTCAAAATTTTGGTGTCGATCATTCGATTTCATCCTGGACACTACAGAAAATGGGCTAAAAGTGTTAAAAACCGGAATTCTCCTTTAAAACCCCATTTTATACAACAGTCTAATGGCAGTGGGGAAGAAGCTGTTCTGGAATCTGCTGGACCTGCATCCAATGCTTCAAAGTCTCTCCCCAGAAGGCAGCAGAGAGAACAGTCCATGGTGGGGGTGTGAGGGGTCATTTATAATGGTAAGGGTTTGGGACACGCAGTGCTGGGATGACATGTCTTTAATGAAGGGAAGAGGAACCCAATGATCTTCTCTGCTGTTTTCACTACTCTCCTCACCTTCTTCCAGTCTGAGGCGCTGCAGCCTCCACACCACACAGTGAAACGGCTGGATCCATCTTAGGTCCTCCACCAACCCTAGCATGGTAAGTCATGGTAGGTAGCCGGTAGGTCAGCAAGTCTTATTCGTGATTTCCTTTGAGAGTTTGATGTTGGTGATATCTGGTGTTTCTTGCATCCCACTAACAGAGAATACCAATTCTTTTTACGAGTCCACCACACATATTCCAGAATGGATTACTTTATGTTGATGGTCAACTTCTTTAATTGGTTCACTAACTTATTGCAATTTCTGACCGTGCCCCTCTTATATTGTCTATGTCCTTCCCTGGACTTACCCGTGGAAACAGGCAATAGTAATTCAATTCCACACTCTTATCTGATGCAATAGGTAATGTAGAGGATTTTCTAGAACTTTTTAAAAGATCCGCACATTCTCAACCCTGTACCAGCTCCCGAGGATTCGGGATATCTCTGCCTCTTCTAAGGCCTATCTTTTCTTCTGATACACTTTTCTCTTACGAATCTCGGGCATTTTCAAAGAACCGTGGTGAGAAAGATGAGGTTTAATGACTGTCTTAAACTGTAGCACACCACACACACATCTGAAAGTGTGCATGCGAGGAAAAAGATAGCTGACTTGGGGGTGAGCATGTAGGACAGCCTTGCATAAACGTTATATTTCCTACAGTGCTTGCATGAAACATGAATCAAATAGGCAGCGAAAAGACCTAATTCACCCAACTGGACTTGATAGACAGTGCACTCAAAATAAATACTCAGATCTACATAGGAAACAAGTAGAGTTGAAAACTAGATTTGATTTGCTCACACCCCATTCATAGACTGCTTTTGAGAGATAAAGTTTTATATACATAGTTGCAAGACTTACAAACTATCATCCACCAACTTAAAGGTTTTAGAGCAAACTGTATGAGAGTGGATAAAATACAGCAATAGCACCCCTTGTGGCTCAAGGAAATAAACACGTATAGGTGTGGGAGGGGGATTTAAACTTTCAGAACTGCAAAATCTTTTCAACAAAATATATTCTTCACCAATGTCTGGTGAAGAATATAGCATCAAAGTAAAGGGAAGTGATTAGCAGAGGTTTTGTCCACTGTGGTGAATGCACTAAAAATTCTCAAGTTATTAATTAGATATCTTTTTCATCTTTTGATGTTTTCTTATTTAGCATCTGGTCCTAGGGTAAATTTTTTTCGATCCAAAAACGAGACAAGTAGTAAAAATGTTCCCGAGCAAACAACATTACCTCCTGAACAACTACAACAAGAATCCTAACAAAGAAATAAGCCTGATATCATGTAGTAAAAAAAAAACAAACAAACCAATTCAACATGAGGTTGAGCAAAAACTGTAAATATACAGGCTATAAAGTGGTTACAGGTGTATAGTGTCTGTATGTGGCCTCCACACTCATGTTCACAATGCCTTGCCAATTTAGTATAGGTCTGACTCACCCATCTGAAGTGGCCAGAAGGCTGAGAATAGTCCAGTGCTAAACAATGCCTCCTAGCTTAGACAATTGTCTGCTTACAAAATGCTGGCTCAACCGCTGCCTTCCTCAGTGTGTATGTGTTCCCAAGATTCCTTCTGTTTCTGAATGATGTGGAAGACAATTTTGTTTCACAGCTGCAGTTGTGCCGAAAGGCTTAGATTTTACCTTCAATTCACACAGGGACATGAAGAAAGAGGCAGCGGAGAGCGGGTGTACAAAAAGCAAAGACTTGGCTCTGAAGTATCGATTGATGCTACTCCTCTTTTCCCAATGCATATACATATGTATGGGATTAATGCAACTCTATTAACCTCTCTTTGACTTTACTGTTTAAAAGCTTTGACCTTCTCTAACTATACTGTAACTATTATATTCAGAATGAGAAAACTCTGTAGAAAATAAATAGAGAGAAAGTAAGTGACAACCAACCTGTACTGAGGTGTCCATTCTGTGATGTTAGTGTTGTTCAGAGTCCAGCTGTACTGCAGAGGCCAGCTGCCTCCGGCTGGACAGGTCAGCACCAGCCTGTTTCCCTCCATCACCACCTGCTGCCCCCGTTCTCCTCCTTGCAAGTAGGGAGCCACTTCTGATTGACACAGAAACACAAGTGAAGGAAACTAGTTACCTGGCTGTAAAGTTATACATTGATTATGTAGGAAAACATGGTATTCATACTGCATTCATTAATAAGAAGATTAAATAAAAGTAAAATAAACTGAGTGTTGAACAACTGGCATAACTGATGATAGTGTGGGAAAGTTCAGTAACGTATGATGATACCTGTACTTGTAATTGTACTAATGAAAAAAAATAATCAGAGACAACAAATGCATAAAAACCAGCTCATATAGATGTTTAAAATATTATTTCTATTACTTCTGAAATAGTAGCCCAGTGTTAAGAGAGCCTGGTGTTTGTATTGCTGGTTCAAACCTCATAGTTTCCCTATGAGCCGCAGAGGAAGAACCCCTGATCCCAGAATGCTCCCCTTTAACTACTCAGTGTGGCAGCACTCTGCTTCCAAAGGGATTGTTTAAACACTAGGGCAAATGTCCCTGCTGTGGAATTATAAAGGATTATATTCTTTCCTGAAGAAAATAATAAACCTACAGAATTTTTTTTCAATTGCACTTGTTCCTAACCATAATTAAGCAAGGAAAATAGTTAAAGGTATGCAATTCTTATATAGAGCAATGCTGAACAATTTGATTGTGAGTTTAATTCAAAACTCTTTTTACAATTGTATTATAATTATTAACATCATTACTGGTTGCAATAGCAGCCTTTGTTCACTTGGATCTTTTCTCTTTCACATGTTTATCACATAACTGAGGTCATATAGTTACCTGCTGTTATGGTGTGTAATAATGCTTTATAACAACAGAGTAAATATGAATTGCTTTGATACAATCAAATAAATAATATACAAAGCCTCTGACCAAGACTGTTTTCATAACATACCAATGTCAGCTTTCTTTTTTAAATATTTTAGCTTGATGTTTCCACCTGGAATCTGCACAGTTCATAACAATGTTTTGAGGTGATATTTGGCTAATGTCAAACCAGATAAGAAAACTAATTTAAAGGCTTCAAAAAGGACTCTAGGCATCAAAGGAGCAATAAAGCGATGTCCCCATATCTGTATATACATATTTCTTTGTATTTCTTTCCACCCTGGTCTTTATTGTTCATGGTGTAAATGCACCCTAAGATTAATAGATACAATGAAATTAACAAACTTGAAAGAGCCTAAAAAGTATATATATATATATATATATATATATATATATATATATATATATATATATATATATATATATATATATATATATATATATATATATTTAAATGTGTAAATGTATTTAAATGTGTGTGTGTGTGTTTTTACTTTAATTTGAAACATAAAGTCTGAGCAGAATGAGATTGCATAACATTCCACAGTGAGATTTTCAAATTAGATTACCAGATTACCTGTTTTTTATTTGGATAAAACATATTAAGATTCAAAGATTTTTTTCCCCCCCCTTTCTCTTTGGTGAATGAAAATATAATATTTTATTCAAACAGCTGATTTTACCTTTATTATAAATGAGAGAAATACAGAGTATCAGGCAGCTCTGTAATCAATTGCTAGTACTAGATCCAAATAGGGGAAACTTTGTAGACTCCCCTTATATCCTGACTTCAAACTAGAGAAGATCTTTTTAAATTTCAACCTATTAAAAACATATAAAAAACATTGTTCATGGAAGTATAAACTGCAGCCTCCTCCTCAGCTGTGAAAAAAAAATCAAACCAAAAACACTTCATAGTGTTGTGTTCATGCAGTCTCTAATGGCCCCTAAGTGGAATCTTCTGATTAGCATGTAGAAATCAACTTGGCCAGCCTTGCAAGGTACAACTGCAAAATGGCTCAGCTGCAGCTGCTGTCTAAACAATGTGATCAAGTCTTTAACTCTTGGCTCAGGTACTGAGAGCTGGCTTTTCATCACACGGCGCACTGGCATCAAGGCCAAAGTGCTTGTGCACAGCACCAAGGTACTGGACCTCTCACCATGTAACCAGGCCAGGATCAACTGGAAAATCGGCAGCCACTGACTATGTGGTTCTGTTATCCACACATAATGCTGGACAAAAGTAGCAAGCTTAACTGCTATAGCATGTATGAACAGTGGGACAACTTAAGATAACAGGTTCCATTTCTCTATTTTTTTGATAATTTGAGCTTACTTTGACATAAATTTCCCTTTAGCATCTCTTTTGTCTTTAACATATATAGTTTAGGACCAAGAAATTGTAAAGATAATGTTTGAGACCATACAGTGAAATATAGTTGACATACAGAAGAAAATAAATTAAAAAAAACCAACACATTCCTCTATATTTTCATAATAGACCTTAATAATTCCGACAAGGATGATTACAGCCATCATCCATAGTAATAATACCTGTTGTACTGTCTGTCTGTCTATTTATCAATCGATAAATAGATCCATCCATCCATCCATCCATCCATCCATCAGGAGTGCAATGATTTACTGGCCAGCTGTTAAATCGACGTTGATTTTCCTAATAATGAAAGATTAGTGCACGCTTTGTAGAAAAATGTTGATCCGCTAGATTACGTGACACCATTGAGCGAAACGTACTGATGTCAACACACCATGCTAGCCAAGACAGATCTAACAAGCTGAAACAACTCTGTTTACTGTACATTCGATATACACTATATTGCCAAAAGTATTTGCTCACCCATCCAAATTATTGGAATCAGGTGTTCCAATCACTTCCATGGCCACAGGTGTATAAATTCAAGCACCTAGGCATGCAGACTGTTTTTACAAACATTTGTGAAAGAATGGGTCGCTCTCAGGAGCTCAGTGAATTCCAGCGTGGAACTGTGATAGGATGCCACCTGTGCAACAAATCCAGTCGTGAAATTTCCTCGCTCCTAAATATTCCACAGTCAACTGTCAGCTGTATTATAAGAAAATGGAAGTGTTTGGGAATGACAGCAACTCAGCCACGAAGTGGTAGGCCACGTAAACTGACGGAGCGGGGTCAGCGGATGCTGACGCGCATAGTGCGAAGAGGTCGCCAACTTTCTGCAGAGACAATCACTACAGACCTCCAAACTTCATGTAGCTCAAGAACAGTGCGCAGAGAGCTTCATGGAATGGGTTTCCATGGGCGAGCAGCTGCATCCAAGCCATACATCACCAAGTGCAATGCAAAGCGTCGGATGCGGTGGTGTAAAGCACGCCGCCACTGGACTCTAGAGCAGTGGAGACGCGTTCTCTGGAGTGACGAATCGCGCTTCTCCATCTGGCAATCTGATGGACGGGTCTGGGTTTGGCGGTTGCCAGGAGAACGGTACTTGTCTGACTGCATTGTGCCAAGTGTAAAGTTTGGTGGAGGGGGGATTATGGTGTGGGGTTGTTTTTCAGGAGCTGGGCTTGGCCCTTAGTTCCAGTGAAAGGAACTCTGAATGCTTCAGCATACCAAGACATTTTGGACAATTCCATGCTCCCAACTTTGTGGGAACAGTTTGGAGCTGGCCCCTTCCTCTTCCAACATGACTGTGCACCAGTGCACAAAGCAAGGTCCATAAAGACATGGATGACAGAGTCTGGTGTGGATGAACTTGACTGGCCTGCACAGAGTCCTGACCTCAACCCGATAGAACACCTTTGGGATGAATTAGAGCGGAGACTGAGAGCCAGGCCTTCTCGTCCAACATCAGTGTGCGACCTCACAAATGCGCTTCTGGAAGAATGGTCAAAAATTCCCATAAACACACTCCTAAACCTTGTGGACAGCCTTCCCAGAAGAGTTGAAGCTGTTCTAGCTGCAAAGGGTGGACCGACGTCATATTGAACCCTATGGATTAGGAACGGGATGTCACTTAAGCTCATATGTGAGTCAAGGCAGGTGAGCAAATACTTTTGGCAATATAGTGTACATGGAGCAGCTCTGGTGGGAGGGATTAGGAGGGACGAAAGAGAGAAACAATAAAGTACACTTATTATGCCCCAACTTCCTTACATGTTTCTCTCCATTATTTACTTTCTTGATTTCTGTAGCATGGATAATATCATTGAGGCTAACTCATCATGATGGTGTTAACAGACACGCAGCTGCGGGGGGACAGAGGCCCCACATTTTGCCAGCGGGGGGGTTAAACCCGTCTTCTTTTTGCAAGAGGAAGGGGAGCCAAATGCCGATTGTTAGCAGGTCGAGCCATGTTTAAAAACATGCGTTAACTCACTAATTTCATCAGGAAAGAGGCTTAAAATGGTGTCAAGTGTGCCATCTGGTGTCAACCAGATAAGGAGAACAAAAGCAACTGTATCTTAAACCCTTGTCATACCATCACAATTTAGACCAGCCTATGTATGATGTACGAAAAATCTGGCAAAAAAGCTGGCATAAATACTAAGGTTGGCTAAGTTATGGGTACGTTTTGTATGAGCTTTTTGTAAGTTATGAGCACGCTGAAACATGTAGAGACATTTTTTCACGAGCTGTCTGTGAAGCTCTTGTAAACTCCTTACAAATCAGGGTTTGGACATTTTCACTTACAGGTTTTACACAATATTTAGATATACTGTATTAGTGAAATATTTGTTTCTGATCAGCGGGCATTGTACCTTAATGGGCGTATGCAATTATAAAAAGTCTATTTGGCAACCAAAGAGTTTGACTCTAGTATTGCAGGTCCAGGAGTGTATTTTTAACAGTCTGATCAAAGAATTGCCAATGTCAAGAAGGGAAACTGAAATGCTGTAGTTTTAAGTAATGTAAAAACGAAATGCTTTCTCAGAGGGTCTTAGTGTGTGCAGCTTAGGAATGGCAGGTGCCAGAACCTCTGAAAAAGGAGGATCACAACGATCTTTAATGAAAGGAAATGAAAATTAAACCAATGCAAGTTGATTGCCAGCCCAGAAAATGCCCTCAAGTGAGACGTTTAATTATTCTCACTCGTGTCATGGAGACTGTAAAATTTTCAATTAAGTAATGCGAATTTATTCAATTCAAATAATACAATTCCAGTAATCCTGAACTTTTTTTTAAAGACTACAAGAC